AAATTTTAAGAAGTACTACTTATAGTATTAATAATATCAAATAGCAACATATTAATCTAAAACAATGTACATGATGATATGTGTGTGCTAAAAGACAATAAAAACAACCTAAAGGAACAAAAATATATCACATTCATTAGATTAAAAGACTTGATATTAAGATGTTTCCTCCAAGTAGATTTATAGACTCAATGTAATCCCAATGAAGATAAAACCAGCTTTTTGTACTAATCCACTAGCTGATTCAAAAACTAATGAAAATTCAATGATATAAAAATAAAAATAGTCCAAAGTTTTTGAAGAAAATAAAGATACCAAATTGAAAAATACACTACCTAAGATTTACTATAAGGTTACTCTAATCAGGACAGGAGTTATTGGTGAAAGCACACAGAGAACAGAACTGAGTCCACAAAGAAACTCACACCTACACATTCAACTGACAGTCAAGCTAATTCAATGTAAAATGCATAGTCTTTTCAATAAATTGGTAGTGGGTCAATTACATACCCATAAGTAAAAAAGTGAATCTTGACCCTTACTTATTAGCACCATACCCAAACATTGAGTTTAAGCAGATCCTAATCATGAATACAAATGCTAAAAAGGTCAATCTTCTACAARAAAACATATGGGAAAACCTTCATGGCCTTGGATTAACCACACACTTATCAGATATGACACAATCGTAAACTATAAAAGTAATAAATACTTCAAAAATTTGCTGCTTTTACAAGACACTTAAGTGAAAGATGCCATAGACGGGAGAAAATATTAGCAAAATACATCTCATAATGTAAGTTCAGAATACAGAAAGAACTCTTAGAAGTCAAGAATGCAAAAAAAAACACAATTTTTAAAAGCTGAAAGACATTTCACAAAAAAGATATTTCTATGGCAAATAAACACATGAAAAGAGGCTTACCACTAAGTCATTAGAGAAATTAAAATTAAAACTATAACAACATTCAGCTACATACCTAGCAGGAATGGCTACAAAGACTGACAATATCAGGCACAGGTGAACTGAAGAATCAGAACTCCCATACATTGACAGCAGAAACACAAACTGAAAGAGCCCATCCGAAAAGCAACTAAGGAGCTTCTCAAAATTCAATATATCAATTACCTAGGATCCCAGTGAACCCACTGTTATACATAAACTCCAGAGAAATAAAAAAAGTTATCTTCACAATAACTTACATGTGAATATTTGTAGTTGTTTTTGTCATGATCATCAAAAATGGGAAATAATTAATTTATTAAAAATAAGAAAGAAAACTAGATGCCAAACAATGAAATTGAATCAGCAATTAAAGGAACAAACTACTGATATATCCAATACCACATATTAAACAACAGGTGGCAGGTGCAAAAGGCATAAGGTTATACATATTGTATGATTCTATCCATGTAATTCTAAAAAATTCAACACTATAGGGTCAGAAATCAGATCAGGGGATGAAGGTGGAGTGAAGTTACTGACTGAAAAGGGGATAAGGGAAGGACCTGTTCAATGAAAATATAGAACACTAAAGAAAGAAATTGAGAAAGACCTTAGAAGATGAAAAGACTTCCCATCTTCTTAGATACGCTAAATCAATAGTCAAAATGGCTCTACTACCAAAAGCACTATACAGATTCAATGCAATACCAATCAAAGTTCCAATGATATTCTTCATAGAAATATAAAAAGTAGTCATAAAATTCATTTACAAAAATAAGAGGCCCAGGATGGCCTAAGTAATCCTTAGCAAGAAAAGCAAAGCAGGAAGCATCACAATACCAGAATTTAAATTATATTACAGAGATAGAGGAAAAAAACAGCATGCTATTGGCATCAAGACAGGCATAAAGACCAATGGAATAGAAGACACAGAGGCAAAGATACATAAATATGGTTATCTCATATTTGACAAAGATGCCAAAAGCATACTTAGGAGAAAAGACAGTCTTTTTTTAACAAATGGTGCTGAGAAAACTGGAAATCCATATATAGTAGAATGAAATTTAACCCCTATCTTTCACCCTGCACAAAACTCAATTCAAAGTGGATCAAATACCACTTTTTTAGACTAGATGAAAATGTAGGCCCAATACTCCAACATATTAGCTCAGGAACCAACTTCCTCAACAAGACTCTCAGAGCATAAGGAATAAAATCAAGAATCAATAAATGGAATGGCATCAAACTAAAAGGCTTCATCACAACAAAGGAAACAATCAAGAATGTGGAGAGAGAGCCTACAGAATGGGAGAAAATCTTTGCCATCTGTTCCTAATATAGGGCATTAATATCCAGCATATACAAAGAACTCAAAAAACACCAAAAAACAACCCAATAAATAAAGGGCAAAGGAACTAACTAGGCACTTCTCAAAAGAAGAAATACGGTCAATAAATATATAAAAAATGTTCAACATCTCTAGYAATTAGAGAAATTCAAATTAGAACTACACTGAGATTTCATCTCACTCCAGTCAGCATGACAATTATCAATAATATAAGTAGCAATAAATTTTGGAAGGGATATAGGGGGGATGAATACATTCATACATTGCTGGTGGGATTGCAAACTGATACAACCCCTCTGAAAACTAGTATGGAGATTCCTCAAAAAAACTAGGAATGGAATGACCATTTGGCCCAGCTATCCCACTCCTTAGTACACATCCAAAGAATTTAAAATCAATATATTACAGTGACTCAGTCACATCAATGTTTACAGCAGCACAATTCACGATAGCTAAGCTATGGAGCTAACATAGGTAACCTTCAACAGATAAATGGATAAAGAATATGTGTGTGTGTGTGTGTGTGTGTGTGTGTGTGTGTGTGTGTGTGTGTGTGTGAGAATACTATTATTCAGCCATACAGAAAAATTATTTTATGACATTTGCTGGTAAATCGATGGATCTGGAGTCTATGATGTTAAGTGAAATAAACCAACCCCAAAAAACCAAAGGTCAAATGTTTTTTCTGATATGTGGAAGCTAAACCAGAATAAGGGGTGGAACAGAGAATAGAAGTTCAGTGGAGAACCCAAAGGGGAATGAAGGGATTGCGGTGAGGGAGACATGTTGAAGAGAAGAAAGACAATGGAATGAACCTGGGATAAATTTCCTATATACATTTATGAATGTACCTCAGTGAATTCACCATCGTGTACATCCACAAGAAATCAATTTAAAAAAAATTTAAAAATTAAAAAAAAAATAACTATGGGTAAATGGCAAAAAAATTTGGTAAAGGGAAGGGAGCAGGGGGTGGGGGAAAGAAAGGGATAGGAAAGTACTGGGGACTGAATTAGAACAAGATATAACCTATGATTTTATAATTATGTCAAAATAGATTCTACTGTCACATATAGCTAAAAAGAACCAATTTTTTTTTAAGTGATAGGAGTGTTCTACTCTTCATTGTGGTAGTGTTTATACAACTTACACTTCAAAACTCAAATTATATATTTAAAAAGTTAAATTTTACCCCACATCAGTTACCTAAATTAACTTTTTTAGAAAGTTAAACGTTTTTTGCTGTATGCATTTAATTTTTTTTCAAATGCCAGATGAACCCTACTTATAATATGAATAATCACATGCCATTACAAAATTTTGTCATTCCTTCATAATCTTACCTCTAGCTTATTCCCTTAACAGTTTTTAAAAAGGCATAAAAACAATTTTAATGCACTGAGAGCAAAAAGTTAGATTGTTTCATTTCACTTATTTGAAATGAGACTTAACTGCAGATTTAAAGTGATTTAACTTGAGTAGAATAAGACCGTACATGATTATGCCACAGGTTTTATTCCCCTCACCTATATGAGATGACAGTTCCTACTTCATAGTATATTTCAAGTACTAAATGATGCCAACTTTTAGAAAATGCTTCATACATAAGACACGATGTGCTCAATAAACATGTCTACTTTTTTCTGTTTTCTTTTTTTTTTTTTTTTTGGCGGGGGTGGGGGGGATAAATATCTGGGATTGAACTCAGAGGCACTCAACCACTGAGCCACATCCCCAGCCCTTTTTTTGTATTTTTATTTAGAGACAGGGTCTCWTTGAGTTGCCTAGCACCTTGCCATTGCTGAGGCTGGTTTTAAAACCACAATCCTCCTGCCTCAGCCTCCTGGGCCACTGGGATTACAGTGCTTATTTTTTTAATTACTTTAAAAAACACCTTTCTAAATCTAATGGTCCAAATTCTATGTATTTCCTGCTATGAATCTTGGCATTTTATTAAACATTACATAAACACTAGGAGTCTGGTTCTATTTTTCATTCAATTCTCTTTCAACAGTTGATCAAGAATAAAGGGATACAAAGCAAGAATGGGAGGAAGGAGGAGAAAGAAGAAACATTAACTGAGAACCTATAAGTATCACAGGGAAACAGATTATCTGGGATGAATCAATCAAAATATCTCTCTCTCTCTCTCTCTCTCTCTCTCTCTCTCTCTCTCTCTCGTTCCTTCTAGTAGGTGCCAACAGAGAAACAAAGAATCTACATGGAAACTTTAAGCTTTTATAAGGGGTCTTTAAAAAGAAGTGTTTGAGTCTACTTAAGATACTAGCTAGGTTCCCAAAAGCCAATGTTTCATTACAAGTAAAGTTCATGTTCAGAAAGATTTAAATAGTAACTTCTTCTTACAACAATTTAATCAAAGTAGTATGTTAACAATCACAATGAAAGATTCTCACATCATAAACCATGAACCTCACTGCCTTCCTTCATGTCATAATCATGATTCTGACTACTTTCAAAACATAGTATCAGAAAGCCAATAAATATAATTAAAGGTGATMACCTGGTAGGATAAAATAAAAATTCTCTGGCACTTACTCTGTGTTTAAATATGGGGGGGGAGGGTGCCACTGGAAAAAACAAAACTATGATTCTCTTAGTTCTTACTTTTCTTAAAATCCCAAAATGCAAAAACTAGTACACAGTAAGAAAACATAACAGAAGACCCTCAATGGAGAGTAAACTTACCTGTAACACTTTATTCTCTGAAAGATTCAACCCAAACACATTGCACCGTTTCACTGTAAGGAAATCATTATCAAGTCCATCTTCTTCCTCATCATCTTGGTCCAAGAACTGCACAGAAACTTCTTTGACCTTCTGTGTCTCCATGTTGGGATGAGATTGAGTTTCAGACCCTTTTGCTTTTCCCAGTTTCTCTTTCATTGCTTCTTCTTCTTCTTTTTCTTCTTCTTCTTCTTCTTCTTCATCATCATCATCATCATCATCATCCTCTTCACTAACATCACTATTCTGTCTATTCTCTGTCCCTTGTAGTCTTTTCCCACCTTTCTGAAGGATGGACATTTTCTCATTGAAATAGGCTCTAAATTCTTCCACCTCATCATTGGTGAGAGATGGAGCCCTGGGCTCAGTTACCACATTGCCTTGACTCTTCACCAATTCTTTGGTAGATTGTTTCTGCACTTTCTGAAGAAATCTTACCCGTGGTGCCACAGCAAGACCAAGAGACCTTAAAAATGAGGGAAAAAAAATTAAAAATTATCTCAGTACACTGATGGTACAGATACGGTATTATGGAAGAGTTTCTTGATTAGAAATATATTTCTAAAACTATCATAAAGAAAATCTTCMTCTGAAATAAAATCCAATGTACTGACACACTAGATTATCCAAAATGCAAACCAAAGTTCACTTAAAAGCTGTCTGAAAAAATTTTAGACACTGGTTTTTCTTCTAGAATAATATGGTATAAAATAAAGAGCATTACAACAAACCTAGATGGTCACAGATTAAGTAYTAGACCTATCAATTTTCAATTCAACTCTCAGCCTCAGCTTCCTCATAATGTAGTATAACACCATGTGCCAGGACTATCATAGTTATTGTGAAGATCCAATTAATTAACTATATTAAAGTACATTTTATAAAAATGTGAGTTACTGAAAAAACTGGCAAAGACATGCCATGAAAGGAAAAAATCCAGTTCTTCAAAAGAATGAACTAGAATATCATCCATATCCCACCTCGTGCTTCTTATGAAAACATGGCATAAAAATGAATTTTTATAAAAAGAGATTAGATAAAAATAATCTCGCTTTCTCCATCTATTATCAAGATTCCATTTAAGATCAAGTGGTTCCCAGCTAGGATCAAAGCTAACAGCTTTCATTAAGTTCCTAATAGCAGATTAGAAATAAAACCTTAGAGCAAGGTTGGCTTTAGTAAACAGCTAATGTTACAACATGGATCACTACTCTTTCCCTGTATGACATGGTAAACATCTAAAAAACACACTTTCAGAAATAGTACTGTTGAGGTTCAAATCCTGGCTCTGTCAATGACCAGTTAGTTGTATGGTATCAAGATAGTATTTAATCTCTCTAGCCCCAAGTTTTCCTATTTGCAAAATTGGGCAGGAGTTCAACCTCATAGGGTTGTTATAAAACATCAATTGACACACACAATGCAGTCAAAGTTGTGGTATGTGGGCAACCACTGAGAACTTGCTATTATCATTATTACTTTCATGGAGATGAGGGGTTAGGATCATGAACCTGAATCCACCTAAGGATTTCTTTTAATATAATACATTTACATTTATGTTTTCTTGGCTACTAAACTTTTTGAGTTCTTAAAGAGTACACATTCATATATAATTCTATCACTGAGCACAATGATCTGCACCTACTAGGCATCCAAAAAATGTATCTATATTAAAATTTTTAAAACCTTTTTTATATCTTACATACATAGCCCTGCTTTAGGCATCCAAGACTTCTACAAGACTACACATCTTAAGGAAATTACACATCTATCCACAAAAACTAAAAACACCAAGGTAAACTGTACCAATAATTTAGGCTCACGTTTATTTTCTGACTTCTTCAATTATCACCAAAAAACAGTCTTTAACTGTAAACATGACATTTACTGGAGTCAGTTTAAACAAAACATCTCCTAAATATGGCCCTAACATGTTAAAGATTTGTGCAATTTTTGTTTGTTAAGAATCCAGCTCAGTCTGTCAGAAAACTAGGATAGCACTTCACACAGAGCACAAAAATCAGCTAATAATCCAAACCATGGGCCRTGCTCAGAAATGGTGAAACCATGAATGTGTAAATAAACGTGAGCAAACAAAAACCTGTTATCCATAGCACATGGTTTTCCTTCCATTACTTAAACAGAAAGTTAGTTGCTTAACAATGCTATGCAGCAAATAAAGTGTTCTATAATAAAACTGACAAATTACCTTTTGTATTAAACTTGCAGCAGCTTGCCCAGATAAATTTTTTGTTACACTCAATTTAAAGGTCAAGGCACTCAAATTCCTGAAGAGCAGGCTAAACATACAGACCTTGACTAGTAAACACATTTCATCATTATCTGGGCAAGTTTATTCTTTTATTCAAAGTATGATGAAGTTCATGGTGATTCTATAGGATTTTGTCAATGCTTTTCCCACAAGTAGGACTCCTTTAAAGAATGAACATTCCTCTTTTATAGGTGAAAAACTTTCAGTATTTTGTTGCTGTTGTTTTTATTTTTAAATCAAACTAAGCCAAACAAAACCAATCATTCCATTCACTAAACAGGGATATCTTGCCATAGTAGTTGCAAATACTTATAAGAAATACCAACTCAGAAATAATATTCAGGCAATAAGCAATATGGGGGAAAAAAATCTAACATAAGAACTAGAGAAGAGACTCACATCCAAAGCATAAAATGTCTATGGTAATCTATGCCAGCATCTTAGAGGGCAAGAGAAGACTACAAATGTGAAGATTTCAAAGAGTCAGTTGCTTTCTGCCTCCTATAAAATCAAACCATAGGTATCCACCACTTTAAGGAATTTATATTTATTGGGGGAAAACTTCTTCCTGGCAACAGAAACTAATTTTCCAGAGTTGACTTAATCATTTTTCTTTGTACATCTGTAACATTCTTTTAAGGCAAAGAAGAGTGGTTTAAACTAGGACCATCAGAGAACCAGGCCAGAAATAAACTAACTTTGAAGACTGACTAGCACAGCTGCATTATGAATACTTACAGTGCATATTCAGGAATAGGTAATTTGTTCACATCGAATACTTCTTTATCCTTCATAAGGTATACTGAACGTATGTAGGAGACAAAACACTGAAAAATAAAAGGTTGAGAGAAAGAAAAAGAAAGGTTGAGAAGTACAACAGCATAGCAATGGAAAATGAAGTTAGCCAATAGAAGAACAACCACCACAAATGGGATAAATTTAACAGTATTAAACACACACACACACACACACACACACACACACAAAAAGAAAACCTACTTTTAGAATATTAGAAGAAAAGATTTTGCGTCTGTTCAAGCAAACTAACCACAGAATATCACTTCCCCAAAAGGCTACTCCACAAATTAATACTCAGTTACAATAGGTAAAATGGAGAAAATAAAGGCACTGGAATAATATAAATAGGATCCACACTAAGCTACTTATTAGTTAAGCAAATTTCTTGGTTTCTCTAAATGGCAGTTTCCTCATCAAAGAATTAAGTGTTATGACAATAAAGGGGGCATATGCATATAGAACACCTAGTATTTACTGCATTCCAAAAGATATGCTAATACATGCTTCTTATTGTTAATCATCAGAAGATACATTTTGATAAAATTTTACTGTATTAAATGAAGCTTAATTAAATTATGACTGTGAAACCTTTTCCCTGTTTTACTATAATTTTATATAATTCATTATCAAGCTGGCATATTTTTCTTTCATTTGTGCAAAAATACTAAGCAAGAGTTATACACAAATCAGAAAGTAAATATGGTTCCAATACTTTACCAGTTAGTAAAACAGGTAATAATATATCTAAGCAAGTAATGTCTTTCATTTTTAAAATAATTCTTATAAAGTTTATTTAATCCTTCTTTCCATAATTTCTTCACATTTTGTTCTAGCTTTACACTAATCCTTTCTACATCACTTATCTCTATAGGCATGAATAACAATGAATGGCATCAGTTCAATGTAATTTTTCCCCTACAACCATCCTGCAAGAAACCATTCAAGCTGAATATCATTTTTGTTCTCTTCAGGTTATAATCAAAACTTATACAATCAGTTCTATGAAGCCAGATAGCATGCTATTGCTGGCAACACAACCAATCTGCTAAACCACATATGACACTCAATAAATCACATGATTTATTTCAATGTGCTATTCTAAAAATCTTTATTCTGGAAGAATCATTTGTTGTAAGCACAAACCAATGAAACAACATCCTTCCAATATTTCTTATTTCCTGATAGTTGAATGACCTCCTAATCATGCAGAAAGTCATGACATTATCTGAATTCATGTTATGTTTTTTCAATGTGTGTACTATTCTTAAAGCTTCTTAAAAAAGTTTAGCTTGAATATGTGCTAGACAAAACACATACTCACAAATGGTTGTTGCATAGGCACAAATTAAGAAAAGAAAATCACTAATTTGTTTTCATTGATTTCAGGTGAAATGAACTTATAGAAATTCAACTTAGTGTAGCTCAATAGTTGATTTTCATATTTTGGAATTCCTTTCTCCTAATGTAGCAACGTTCTCAACAATGAAAGACACAGATTTCAATCTCAGACTGAGACTTTTGATAACTATGTGACCCTGAACAATTTTTAATTTTCTGAAGCTAGCATCTAACCTCTGTAAAAATCACATCAACACCACCTACCTCGTGTGTTCTTGGGAAGATTAGATAACACAGTGCATGTAAAATACGCGTGAACCAGTCAAGTCATGACTAAGTGCTTGGTACATAGTAAGGACTCAAATTTTACCCTTTGTCATTGCCATCATTTTATGCACAGCAATGATTTGCTAAAGTATAAGTCAGCAATAAATAGAAACTTTGATCTTTAGTAAAACTTACTTCTCTGCTTCTCTGCTGGGAATATCCAGTTTCAAAATAACAAAGAACCCAACTACTCAATGTTTTTCTGCCCGAGTTACCCCAACAATCTTATCTCCTCCTTCCTTATATTCTTCCTCCCACATCATGTGCCTGCTGAAATAGAATCCAGCCTCTTAATCACTCCTCTCTAGCTCACTTTTGATATGCTATGAGAGAAGCAAAGATCCTATAACTACAAGGAAGTTAGTAAAAACAGTGGTAAAAATGCAAAGCTTCATAAGAGTACTCATAATTGTTAATTCAAAGATTATAAACTGGGTAGATTGGAAGGCACAAGTCATAATCATTTCACATCTTCCTTTYCCACAGAATCTATTGCTAGACACTATGAACTGAAAGAGTAAGTATAACTAAACATGACTTCTCTCATCATAAATAACTGGTATGTAAGGTAATGAATATTAATGTTTGACTTAGCCACTCCAAAATGTATACCGTTTCAAAATCTCATGTTGCACACTGTAATGTAATTTGTCAATTTAGCAAATAAGTTACTTTTTAATTTCATTTTTCTAATACAGAAGATTAAAGTCCAGAAAAGCAATAAGAGAATAAGTCATATTTACAGATTAAAATTTCATACCTAAAGATAACTTGACAAGAGTTTTATCCTTTCTAGAAATTTAACCTAATATATAAAGATATTAATTTCACAGTCAAAGTTCATTCAGGACTTACAGTAACTTTACTGAAGAAATGTAAAGTTTATCCAATACACTAGAAAACAGGGCACTATACGTATACGAATAATCTTGGGATTTTCTGTGTATCTCTGCAAGACTATATACAGGTTATTATAAAAAAAAAAAAACACTTTGAAATTTTAAGGAATATTTTAGGTGCATGTACAAATTACACTATTTGAATATGTGATACATGACCATGTAATGTAGAAATAGCGGAACAACAAAATTTAAACTTATTATTTATTGCACTCCAACAAAGGTACCCAACTCAGAAAGAACTTACCCTTTGAGCTCTTTCTTTTAAATCTTGATCTTGGGCTAAAAAAGATTCCAATTTTTTCTGTACATCTATAAGTTTTTCTGGATTGATTCTGTGTAACAAAAAGAAAGATATAATGGTTACACTAAGAAATCTGAATTTTAGAAATGATAAATAGCATATAGCATTTTTCTATTTCCCTCAATATTGTTTTTAAATATATAACATTTCTCATCTATGACCCAAGTTAGACCAAAATTACACTTGATCTAAATCTCTCTCCTGCATATTATGAATAATACAGGAGGAAAGAAATGACAGATACTTTCTCTAAACACCCCATGCTGAGTGAGTGAAGGATACTTAGATTAACAACATAATTAGCATTGATTACTTCTTAACTCTATAAAGATGGAAAGTAGCTTGAGCAAGATTAATAAAATGGAATAAATGAAATCTAATGTCATTTTAAGTGTTTCCACTTTCTTATATAATAAAATCAATTTCAAGTAATAAACAAATATACAAAAAATATAAATATTGATTTACCTATTTAGAAATTAGGCACAATGTAACAGAGACATAACTTAAAACTCTGCCTAGGTAAGCTGTAGGAAATCCTGAGATTCTTTTAAGGGTACAAGCTTCACAACAGACTTCACTTGTTTCCTTCACTTTAGACTGCTTTGAACCACTTTTTCCTACAAAGCCAGGGTGATGATAGGTGGTTGTAAAGTGACTATTTTTCCTGTTTTTATTGCAGAAATTTTTAAAACACCTAAAAGTAGAAAACTTTAAGTCTCAACAATTATCAACTCATAGCCAATGTGTTTCTTCTAAATCCTCAACCATTCCTGTCCTTATCTAACTACTGTCTAATTTATTTCTAGTCAAACCAAACCAAGGTGTTTCAATGGCCCTTATACTAGTGAAATTTTGATGAATTCCACTAATAATCCACATATCCTCAATGAGAGAGAGCACATACTATTTTGAAATGGACCCACAACCTGAAACATTTCATTGAAAGTTTCATTCTTTCAACTTTCTCTTTTAAAAAAAAAATATTTATTTTTTAGTTATAGGCGGACACAATGTCTTTATTATACTTTAGGTGGTGCTGAGGATAAAACCCAGTGCCTCACACATGCTAAGCCACAGCTCTACCTGAGCCACAACCCCAGCCCTCATTCTTTCAACATTCAATGCTTCCTAAAATTAATAAATTCTCCTTTATCTCTTTTATTTTCTCCAGTTACAGTCTCCTGGAAATTTTGTTTAAACAGAAACCTTTAATTAAAAAATTCAGACTTCTGATTTTTAGTACTACACAGAAGCTTAYAAGTCAACACAGTATCTTAACAAGAAAAGAGCTGAATGTATTAGATAATCAGCAACCTGTATTGAATTTGTTAGTAGGGTGACCTGACACAGGGCAAACCACAATCCTCAAAATAGGAGGGGAGGAGGGAGAAGGAGGAAGGAAATGGAAAGGGGGGAACGGAGAGAGGAGGTAGGAGGTGAACCCAGGAACATGGCTGAATGGAACACTCCTGTGAGCAAAGCCCACTGGGGGAACCATTGGGGCACCGGAAAACTTGAACCTGCAATTTAGAGATAGATGGAGGCTCAATGTGAACAAGTCTGAAATACATAAACTTCAGGAGGACCCATTTGTGAATATAGGAAACTCCACCAGGAGTCAACCACCAGTATCTGAGAAAAAAATTCCTCATGCTTCTGGCAGAGGATTGGTGGGAGCATTTTAAAATACACTATARCACTAGCTTCCTCTTAACTAGTTTCTCCTAAGATTAGTCCTTATTAATGAGAGTCCAATCTGCCAGGGGTTTATCAGAGCCCAACAGGTTTGGCTCTGATAAAACTATTTTGGTTTGGACCCTAAATGTCACCAAGGCCATGGGTTGAAGACTTCATTGTCAGCTTGGGGTACTGCCAGAAGGTAGTAGAACCTTTAGGAGGTAGAATCTGGTGGAAGATGTTACGTAATTGGGGGTGAACCTTTTGAAGGGGATATTGGGTCTCCAACCCCTTACTATCTCTTTGGTTCCTGGCCACCATGACCTGAGCCATCTTCCTCTGCCATGTGATCCTTATCATGATTCTCTGCTTTAACATGAGTTCCAAGTGATGGGGCCAAACAACTATAGACTGAAACCACAGGTGCTGAGAGACAAAATAAATCTTCCCTCCTTGTAAGTTGATTTTCTCAGGTACTTTGTCCCAGTCAGGAAAGGTGATGTGCACATACAAACTAAGCTGGGGAAAGGGAAAGCCACCTCTGGCCACCCAGCCTCACTTAAGCTTGGATGGAGGTACTAAAGACTACTTATGAAGATCACAGTCCAGCGATACAGACTTACTCCAAAACTGAAACGAACTGGGCATGGTAATGCATGTCTGTGATCCCACCAACTCAGAAAGCTAAAGCAGGAGATTCCAAGTTCAAAGCCAGTCTCAGAAATTTAGTGAGGCCCTAAACAACTTAGCAAGACCCTATCTRAAAATAAAAAGGTTTTAAGAAATGACAGGAAAGAATGGCAATTATCAAGAATACAAGCAATAATAAATGTTTCTAAGGATGTGGGGAAAAGGTACACTCATACATTGCTGGTGGGACTGCAAACTGGTGCAACCTATCTGGAAAGCAGTATGGAGATTCCTTAGAAAACTTGAAGTGGAACCACCATTTGACCCAACTATCCCACTCCTCGGTCTATACCTGAAGGACTTAAAATCAGCATACTGCAATGACGTGGATATGTCAATGTTTATAGCAGTTCAATTCACAAGAGCTAAATTGTAGAACTAACCTAGGTGCCCTTCAACAGATGAATGGATGAAGAAACTGTGGTCTACGTATACACGATGGAATACTACTCAGCCTTAAAGAAGAATGAAAATGGCATTTGCAGGTAAATGGATGGAATTGGAGAATATTGTGCTAAGAGAAATAAGCCAATCCCAAAAGGCCAAAGTCTAAATGATTACTCTGATATGGGGATTCTGATCCCAAAAGGGTTGGGGGAGGGGGGTGTTAGAATGGAGTAATTTTGTATTGGAAGGGGGTATGGGGGTAGAAAGAATTACCCTACGTACATGCATAATTGCATGAATGGTGTAACTTTATCATGTGCAACCAGAGAAATGAAAAGTTGTGTTCTATTTGTGTACAATGAGTCAAAATGCATTCTGCTACCATGAATAACTAATTAGAATTTTCGTAAAAGACTGGGGATGTGGGTCAATGGTTAAGTGCCACCAGGTTCAATTCTGAGTCAAAGGGGGGAAAAAAACTGGGACCTAATCACAGGATTATAACACATGTCCCCTCCCTATCCACATTAGTCAAGGGCCATTTACATCCATTCTTTTTACCCCATTACATCAGCTATTAAGAAAAAATTACAAGGCATACAAGAGACAAAAAATAATTTGAAAACAGAGTCAAAACCATAACCAACTGTGGAAAGTATACTGAAATTAACAAAAGTAGGAATTTGAAACTAAAGTAATATACTAAAACTTCCTATGGATTTAGTAAACAGAAAGCAACAACAGACAGAAAATGTAAGCTAAGAGATGGAAAACTTAAGAAGGAATCAAAACTAATGCTACAGATCCACACCACCACCAGKAAGAAAGAATGTTTCTGACAGGCTTATCAGCAGATTAAACAAGGCTAAGGATAGAGTATGAGCTTTAATAACATTAAAAAAATCCAAAATTGAAAAACAGAAAAAAACAAACTGATAACACAGGACAGAACATCCTAGGTCTTATGAAACAACTACAAAAAGTCCTCCCAAATGGCCCCAAAGCTAAAGTCACTGGACATTAAAATCTATTTCTCAAACAAGCACATATATAAAATTACAGAAAGCACTTAACCCAGTAATTTATTAAGTTATCTAAACCTATTTTTCCTAGAAGTATTATATTAGTATATTTTAATTATTGACTCTACATGGGGGAGGGGGTGTTCAAGATGGCAGAATAAAGCAGGTTTCCTGGCTGCTCCATGGTATGAAATCAAGAAAGCAGAAAGTCAGCTTCTCAGCAAGGTGAGTGAACAGGAAAAAAAGGGGGTCGGGAGGACTTTATTGGAATTTAATACCGGACACATAAACACTCCCCAACTAAACTAAAAGGCACACAGCACAATAGCACTGCTCGGAAAAGCAAACACATCTCTCCCAGTGGCATGTGGAAGACAAAGAAAGGAATCATTTTGTAGCCACAGCACAAGGATCAAAAGCTGAGGGAGCAGAGTTCTGGTAAACACGAGTCTGGCTGAAAATACAGGCTGGCAAACCCACACTACATAACAGACTGTGCCTAAGTGACCAGGAGAAAATTAAATATGGAGAGAGGTTTACCCAGGGGACAACTAGTTGTGAAAATGCACCCCTCTCTTCCCCCCTCCTCCAATCTGGCTGCCTACAGGAGTGGCAGGGAGAGACTCACATGGCCAGGAATTCCAAAGAGTGCGTGCAGGAGATACCGAGTTTGGAGACTGAATCTGAGACCAGGAAACATAAGGTCCGCAGGTGAAGTAGTGAACTAAGAATTGGCTCCTCCACCACATGAAAGGAACCCAAGGGAGATCCTGGAGTACAGTCTTCCAGTGTGGACCCCAGCAATTGCTGGGCCTTGTAGGTGTGCTAATTTAAAATCTCCAGATCAATTTGCATCCAGCGAAGAGCCTGGAGCCTACCAAAGCCTAAACTGTCTCTCYAGACATTCTGCCTATGGGATTACTTTTCTCACCTTAGCAACCCCACCCTGAGGTRGGAGCAAGCATCAATCTCCAGACAACTCCTCTTAACCACTGAGAAGGGAAGTCAAGAGTCTTTTAAACTCCATTAAAAACAATTCTTTAACTTTTCATTTTGTTTTTCCCTTTTTTCTTTTTTCTGCTTAATTGTGACCTTAATCATTCAATGACATTTATACATACTAATATTTAGGACTTTGTCTTTCCTCATTTCTAGCATTTTTTAAATGATTTCTTCATGGATCAATTTTTTGAGGACTAGGAAATTTGATTAGTGTATTTCAGGGGGTTTTATTCTTTTATTATTTTCATTG